AATAATTGATTATTTTTTGGCACGCGAGAAAATGTACTATCGACTCACAGACGATGATCAGCCGGAGTGGATAAAACCGACCTCCCCTAATCCAGTCATTCTGATTAGTAAGTTGCGACTGAGCGGGTCCCTAAGTCAGTTTTTTAAATTTTCTGTCCTTTTTTTCGCTTTTTTTTGTAGCGCACGATAAGTCCTCATTTCGTAGCGGCGAAATTAGTAATAAGAGATGGATAGTGGGTGATACGGCTCCTTTTCATATCAAAGGACGAGGCAAAACGTTGATGATTTCTGACTTTATGGTAGCACACGACTCGGGACCGTTTTTTCGACTGTCTGATCAGTAGTACGCCGACGCCGTTAAGAAATTTCCAGACTTAGAAGACGATGAAGGATTACGTTACGAAAAGAACTCGGCTACAGCTTCCATTGCCATTGGTACTGGTACATATTTTGACAACGACACAATTTTGTCACAATTTGAGAGACTTTTCAAACTTCTTCAATTTAAAATGGACTACAAAGGACACGATATTGAAATTCTAGTCGACAATGCAACGACACATTCGAAAAAAGACTATTCTATTTCAGACTTTTCCAAGAAAATAGGAACTCGTTGTGAAGTACAATCGATCGACTGGTTAGATGATAACAATGACTTTCACACATTAAATTGTTTCTTTACGAGTGGTCAATATAGCGGAAAAAGTAAGGGGATGGTCGAAATAGGGAAAGAACTTCGTTTGAACGTGTCACACAAAATGACTGTAAAGTTATTAAGAGAGGAATTAGGAAAACATCCCGCCTTTAAGACGGTGAGTGCGTCTCCCTTTTTCCAAAAGCCCATTTTACTCAGCCATTCTTTTTATATCTATAGATCTCAAAATTGGAAAAGTTAGGCAATCATTACGGAATTCATGTAATTTTTCTTCCCGAATACCACTGTGAAATGTCATGCATTGAAGGTTTATTGTACCCGATCTTTCATGCTCTAAAGAATCCTGAGAAATTTCTTTCTTTTGTGTTTGAGATGTCAGAAAACACAGTGAACAATCATTCCCAAAAATGATCGAGTTAGTTGAAGAAGCACGTCAGCACTTTCAAGATAAAAAAATTGATCGTAAACTCCAACGGCGTTTTTGGCGCACATTACATGCTTACAATGATGGCCAGGACTATAAACAGGTGCATTGCATGTTCTTCAGTACACTTTCAAAACCAAATCTGATTTCTCATAGAAAGATAACAAATTCAAATTTGGACAGTAGCTAATATTTTAGAACAGTTTCTTTCCTTCCAAAGTTTTTGTACAGAACAGATACATTTTTATTTTTTTTACTCCTGTTATGGATTTTTATTTTTCTGTTAGGACTTTGTTTTGAACAACTAATCGAGAGAATAGATAGTGGAAGTAATCGAAATTCAAGCGAGGAGCACTACTTTTGTGCTTTTCAGTAGCAGGTTTTCTGGAGATCCTTCAGAAACCCTCTAAAAAACCTTGAGATGATTATCATCGGATTGCCCGTCAATTTTTACGTATACACCGAGAGTTTGAATCAATTTGAGCGAAAACTTAAGATTCTAGAACAAAATCACTTCCACGATTTGGGCCCAGAATGTCTGTTTTTTAAAGAATCTAACCTATTTCTATATTAAAAAACAAAATCAAAAAAGTCTCTGTGTAACTTTGTTTGTGGGGAATTTCTGACTTTATTCTAGATTCAGTTTTCGACGTAGAATCCAAACATATCATTAAAAAATTTTAAAAAAATGATGTGAAAAAGATGAGAACAGTTTTCTAAGAAAGGACAGTTTTTCCGGTTTTCGACCTGGTCTCACTATTTTGCCATTTTCTCCCCGAAAACTCAGTCAAATTGAGGTAAAAAGGTCATATTCGGAATCAGCACACTTTTTCCTATCCGAGTATGTGTTTTTCGTTCAAAAATAAAGACCCTCGGTAAGTTTGAATTACGCGCGCCTTATAACAATTTTTTTTCCTATTGAACACTTTCAGTCTGTATTACACACTGATAATTATAGACTGTATCACCAGTTACGATGCACTATTCTTGTTCTATATTTTTCGGGCAATCGAAAACTGATCAACTGAGACTTTCGTCACCTATACCTTCGTTATTGACCAAAGTTTTGTCTGACTTTCGTCAACTGACCAAAATTCGCCTTACTTCGATCACTGATGAGACTGTGGTTGTGATCTAACATAGAATTATTTGCTGACTGATCACACGCTGAGTCACTCGACGATGAACAATTTGTTTGTGTTTTTGTTGGCGATGGCTGTTGAAAAGACACATAATTTTGTGTACCGGCTTGTTTCGGCGTTGACGTTTTTATATTAACATACATCTGAAATTATTCAAAATAGATTATTGACAGAGCGCGCAATGACACAATATCTACTTTATATAGAGAACAATGGACACAAGAAACAACATAGAATAAGCACCAGAAAGAAAAGAAAAAAGTACACAATATTGGAACAGACAGTATGTTACGACAAAAGTACAGCCACCCTCATCAGTGATCGAAGTAAAGCGGCATTTAGTCAGTTGACGAAAGTTACACAAAACTTTAGCCAATGACGAAAGTCTCAGTTGAACTGTTTCGAGTAACTCTATTTTTCTCTTTCTGTTATCGTTATAGTCTTTTGTCAGCTTCTATATACTATACGTAGTGCGCATAGTAAAAGAAACATATTACATATAATAACAGTGAAATTCATTGTTTTATTCTATATTTTTCGTTTAGTTTAGTTTATACTTTATTCATTTAAGAAAGAGAAATAAGAATAGTCATTCTACATAGATGCGGTCTAGGCCATTATATCAGAGGAAAATGACATAGCAAATGATATAAGCGATTACGGATAAAACGTTTCTCTCCTTCATCTTAAAAATGTCCAGCAGACATAAAAAAAACTGTTAGTTAGTTTCTTTTCGTTAAGAGATCATTGTGATCCTCAGTGTGATCAATATTTCTCTTGGTCTCCTCTCTCTCTTTTTCTTCCTTGCAGTGAATGCAGGTAAAATCTTCTCCCCTTCAGGAAGTGCAGGCAGGAAAACATTCTCCTTTATCTCTCGGCCGTCAGTGGAAAAAGTTATCATTCACCTGCAAACTGCAACCTGCCTGCAGCTTGCAGGCAGTTTAAAATGCATGTGATGAGCTCTGCTCCAAATATGGTGTTGTTATGGCACAATTATTAAATAGTTTAGGTTACTTTATTGATTGATAACAGATAATCATGCTGAATCATTGAAACCTTATGGAAAAATATTCAATTATGTTTAAAATATTTAATAAAAAATCAGCGTACAACTAATGTCACTTATTTAAAGAACGCCGTCGGTTAAGAAAATGTTCGATTTTTTCAAGGCCGCTAAACTAGAGTACCGATATTTATCGAATTTATCGATATTATTGGGTAAAGTACTTTATGAGAATTGCTATTCATAACGAAGATATCGACAATATTAACCTGGCACGTTGTCTGTACCCAACAGGAGTTTGGAAAAAGTAAATACACCAAAAAAGTCACCTGATAAATTCTCTACGATATTCTTGAAAATCGAATGTTTTCTTAACGGACGGCATCCTTTTATGTCGATTCATAGAATAAAACGAAGGTTATTCGCGAAACTAAGAATGTTTTTATTTAGACAAAAAATGCGTCTAGGAAGTAAAAAATACGAAGAGAAAAAATTACGTGTTCTGTTTGCGGCCACGCGCGCTAACGCACTGATAGGAAGAACATGAAGAATGATTACGTGTCGATCACATACCATATTAGTGAAAGAGAAAATTGTTATCATCCTTCATATTATACTTTATGATGAAAAAAACTGAAGTGTATAGTTGGCGTTATGTTTATGAAAAATTAATGATGATGCAGGGATTAAGGCGTCGGATACAATGACAGACGAATATATAAACAGTATGATTCTTTTTTCTATCCATTAATTATATTTTAAGTGGTTTTATTTGAACTTCAAGAAAAAGTATCGAACTGTTTGTTTTTCCTTATTCAGTACCAAGAATAACATTAAAATACATATTAGCTAATATTTTCCTTCCACTATCAACACTATCGTGAAAACTACAAATCATCATTTAATAACTGATCAGCATTTAGTTTTAAACAACTTTCTGTCACAAAATTTATAAAATTATTCACTGTTCTATCAAATGCCATTACAGTATCATTAGGTACACCATTTTTAAATAATCTAAAATTCATCCAGTAATTTCCATTAAAATAATTAGCAATCTCTTCAGATGGTAGTTCATTAAAATTAATTGCTGAAATTAAAATCGATGGATTTTGTTGACTATTAAAATGTTTAGCAACATTCTGATAAATATTATTTAATATAAAATGTTTTGAATGCCCATTCCATGTAGCATAAATAAACACTAAAACACATTTATCCAATTGAAAAACTTCTTTAGAAAAAGTTTCTTTTGTCAATTTATAAACATAGTTATTTTCATACAAATAATCATCCCAACATCTTGTATGAGAAAAGTTATTACAGAAAAGTAAAATAAAAAGAAATCTGGTTGATGTTTTACCCATTTACAGCGAATATAGACAAAACACATTGTGAAGTTGCGTTATATGTGCGTAATTTTTTTTGACATGAAATGGGAAAGCAAGAGAAAAGAAAAAGAATGAAAAAATAACACGCATGGTCCCCAACAGATTATATATTACATCGGTAGAAAGAAGAAGAAGAATGATCGCATGGTGTATTCTCGTTTTGCCGACTTTTCTAAAAATACAGAAATCTATGGTTCTCGTTTTGCCGACTATTTTCTTAATTGATATATATACTAATTAAGTGATATGTATGAAAAATTTATATTTTGTAATACAGAAAAAGAAAAGAAAACTTAGAATTTTTTAATACCAATCAGTTTCATACTTCGGTCGTGAAATTCATTTAATGTTAATTTGTGTTCTTTATATCTTTTTCCAAATCAAGAATGCGTGTATTTCGTTGAACATAAAATTTTTTACGTGATGGTGTTGCACCAGTGGAATACACGCATTTTTGATTTGGAAAAAGATATAAAGAACACAAATTAACATTAAATGAATTTCACGAC